GCATCTTATCATAGTCATGATCGTCAAAACTTAACTGGTAATGAGTCATCTAAATCCATAAAACCGGTTTAATTGTGAACCCGGCTATGAAACACTTCAATTCCTATCGGAATCACCAATGTTGACTTACAAAACTCGTTGACTTGAGCTTTAACACATACTCAACAAGTCAATAGAGAATATAACAAGAACACATTCGATGATAGAAGATGTTCTTGATCAGCGTTGGAGTAAATTTGTGACGCTTGATCTTGGTGATTGTTGATATCACGGTCTGTATAAGTAAGTGTATATTAAATTCATGGTAGAATATGTGCGATTTTATGTCAGTTTATGGAGATTGGTAACTTTTACTTAACACTCTGAGTACAACATTCTTGCCTCTTGTGGAATGTTCATGATAGCTTGCTATCAGAACTCCAATGTGCTTTGATTAACAAGGAAAAATAATTATAGTCTATTAGTCTCTGAGGTAAATTGTTTCTTCCTTCTAACATCATTAAATATGTGACATGTAAAAGATCTTATCACATCAGTTATTATGTCGAAGCTGGCAAGCAGCTCTGTGTGAAGATTGATCTTCACAATGTGGTTCCTCTGCCACCAGGAACTGGTCAATGGTTCTCAAAGTCAAAGTCCATATGGCCATTAAACTCTTCTACCTTTAGGAAACCCTTCTCTAATAGTTTCTGATATACATAATCTAGTTGGAAACAATCAAAAACATTTTTTTGATTGATAAACTAAATATATATGCCCCATAATTTTTTCACTAAATTATTTACCATAAGCTAAAGCTTCAAAGTTCCTTCACCAGGCACGCGCCGTGCTGCCCTCGGTACACTTTTGCTCAAATGTTGAACCAGAAGTTCCATTTACCAGATACAACGTGAAAAGGGCTCTGTGTAGCCAAATTTTTTGCATTTATTCACAAATTGACTTCTCTTTTAATATATAGTAAATATCTTACATTTTATTAAATTTAAAATACAATATGAATTTATTTGTTATATTTGTAAAATAATATTTATATATTTATAGTTAGTTTTGTAAACTATAAATATGACTACTTTAATATATCTTGTGAGATTCTGTATTGATAATATACTAAAATTATTTATATATTTCATTTCATAAAATAATAATACTATATTTATAAGGTATATGATATTGAAACTTTCGATTTCTAGAAAAAATTGTAGCTAAAATTTTCATTTTCTACAATGCAACTTATTTCTTAGAACTAAAACAATGAACATTATCTAAAAAATTTTCAGTATGCACATATCATCCTTGTGTTTCTCTGTATATCAATACAAAAAGATACAAAACATAGATAATATGATTTTTGAAAAATATTTTCTTATATAAATTTTTAAAAAGTGATTTTAAACTCTTAAATTTTATAAATTGATAATTTTGTGTAGAAAACAATGTTTTGCGATAGATTCTGATTTTATAACATCTTTAAGATCACTTTGAAAATAATTTCTACATTTATAAATAATTTTTAAAACTTTATAAAATATATAAACTTTTATATATTTTTATAGAAAAGATTATAAGTAGTTCATAAGTAAATGATTGCTAAAAAAGGAAATGATGAAGCATTATATAGACTTTTCATTATTTCTACGATTGGTTACTATAAATAATTACATGTAATATTAATTTGCTTATTTGGCAGCTTGATTTAATTATTTCTAGATTCATCTTCTTCTTATACTTGATTGAAATAAGTAAAAATAAAAATGATCAATCAATCAAACTATAATAATAATCTATAGATGACACCTAAGTAAAAATAATTTGAATGAATTATCTTTTATATATAGTATGATATCCTATATATCATAATTTTAATGAATTATCTTTTAATATATAGTATGATATCCTAAGCACATCATTAATCATAAGATACTGTTCAAAATATCTTCTCAATATTAGTATTTTATTAACATTTTATTATCTAAATAAATTTTAAACAAAAAGAAGAAAATCAAATCAGCAAAAAAATAGCATGTGTACATACATTAGTCTCTCGGATTTTGTTGGAGAGTATCTCAACGGGATACGTTTCTATCTATTCTACTTTACTTTCTTTATTTTCAATTTTTTATATAGTATAAATACTCTCTTAAAACCCTTCATCAAGGGTGTCTTAAAAGAAAAAACTATTTTTTTTTGTCAGAGCCATACACACAGCTCTGGCTACTGATTCCAAATTCCCAGACAATCTGAATCTTTTCATTCTCTTCGGCAATTGTGACGGGAGTAAGTGATTTCATTACTTTTGGTCGAACATTGTTGGTTTTCATCCCCTTTTTATTACGAGAAAATAAACCCTAGGCATAGTCTCGCTGTTGTTTGATTTGAACTATCTTCTGGAAAGGTGTATTGAATCTGAAATATTAAGTGATTTGTTTTTTAATGAATCTTAAAATTTGGTATGGTTTTTGTAAACAGCTCTAAATTCTCATTTAAAACTATGAGATTTTTTTTTTTTTATAACTACAAAACTCCTATCAACTACTCTAAACACAAGTACTATAAAATCTCCAGTTTAAATTTCTTTAATAATAGTATATTTTATTTTAGTCTTTTATGAAATGGCAAGAACTCCTTGTGTTGCATAGTCTGGGGTTCGAACCCCAGACCTGGTGTAAACCTTTTACCAACAGTGCTTCCACGGTGAAATGAAAAGTTCAATAATATTAATTCTAAAGTGTTTTTTTTTCTTTTTTAAACATGAATCAAATAGTTGTGAATTTGTCAATTTAATACAAAGCAAACCTCAACTTTGGAATCCATCCTTTTTGAAAGTTGAAACTTTGGTCTTCAATTTTGTTATGCAGACAAAACAGTTCAGAACAAAGGAAATATGGCTAGTAGAGGGAAACCGGAAGAGTGGCTTAACAATGAACTAGATAGGATAAGTGAATTGCCTGATCCTTTGATCTGTCGTATACTTTATCATCTTCCCACAAAGGATGCTGTAAGAACAAGTGTCCTGTCCACCAGATGGAGGACTCTCTGGCTTTGGGTTCCTCGTTTAGGATTGAATTATCGAGACTTCAAGAAAAAACGTGCATTGGCTAATTTTGGTCTCTGGCATGAGATTTCTCGTTTAGGAATGAATTATCGAGACTTCAACGAGAAAGATGCATTTGTTAATTTTGGGGACAGGTTTTTCGATTCCGACAGGGTTTCAGGCATAGAAAAAGTCGAGTTAGACGTTGATTCAAATGAAGGTGAAGGTTATTATGATTCTTACGTCACATCATGGATCGATGCAGCAGTTAAGCGTAAGATCCAACATCTAGATGTTCGGTCTGATCCAGATAGGTTTAATCATTACGCGTGGTTAAAGTCTTATTTTCATGGGATGCCCCTAAGCCTTTATATCTGTGAGACGCTGGTATCTTTAAAACTCGATAATGTCTTCTTGCCTGATTCAGAGTTTATTTCCTTACCTTGTCTGAAGATTTTGCACTTAATATCTCTGTGGAATCCCAGTGAGGCCACTTTCGAGAGGCTTGTCTCCTCCTGCCCTGTCCTTGAAGAGTTGGAAGTTGATAATTGTCTGAATGATAACGCAAAAATCTTTCGGGTGATCTCTAGGTCGTTGAAGAAGCTCAGTATACAAGAAAGATTGTCAAAAGTTGTGATCGATGCTCCTCGCCTTGGCTTTTTGAGCATCGATTTAAGCCTATCAGGAAGCTATGTGATAACCAATATTATGGATACAAATGTCAAATTAGTTATTCACTTCGGAAATTATTTTGGGGATTTTGATGAAACAAGCATTTTATCAAACAGAAAAAGATTCTGCAGTTGTCTCTCTGGGGTTTCCGACGTCAGGGATGTGACGATACTTGGAGACAGTTTCATGGTATATATACAATGTCAATTTTACATATTCAATCATGAAAGTTTTTTTTTTTCTAACGTCCACGTTAATTGTTTTTTTTTTGTTGCATAAAAAAACATTAGGGTTATTCATGTTTGAAATGGTTACCGACCATTCTTGAGAGCTTCCCCAACCTGAAATCCTTCTGCTTGGTGATGATCTGCTATATGCTATATGATTTTCTTTTCCACCTTTTAACTATGAAGATTCTTGCTTATCTTTTTTTTTTCTTTGCATTTTTAATCCTCGCGTTCTGTCCTCAGGAATGCGACACTGATAAGGATGAGTGTCATCAGAAACTTCAGTTAGAGGAGTTGGATGAAATCAATATTTCGTATGTACCTGAGTGTTTGCTATCGTCTCTCGAGTTTGTTGATTTCAATGTCCCACTCTCAAGCGTTGTTGGAGAAATGAACATAGTAAGGTATATCCTCGAGAAGTCGGCAAAACTCAAGAAACTCACTCTACATTTGCATAAAGATTTTTCAACAAAAGATGAATTTGTTAAGAAACTCCTCAACATCCCAAGAGCCTCTGCCAAATGTGAAGTTGTCTTCTTTGACTGGAGAGCATAGTATAAGGTTTTGTGAAATAACAAAGTGAATATGCGCACTACTTTCATTTGGGTTGGATTCTAAGTTGTATGGCCATAATGATTTTTTTTTTTTTAATATTTGAATTCTGAATTCTATGGCAGCTCATGATTGCTATTTGTTATTTTGCTATTTTGCTGTCGGTATCTTGTCAATATATTTGAACTGAGTCATGATTAACTTTGTAGCAAAAATTATTTTACAAACAGATAGCTGGTACTCAAGTTGTTTGTGTTCAAACTGCCGTTGGAACAGAACTCAGAGACCTGCCTGAGTTCTATGTTTGTTAATTGTTTGATTATCAATTAAGGTTTCTAAATTCTGTTTAAAGAAAACTTGAAGCATGAACATGAATTGCAAGATCAAACAATTATTCAAAACCGTGTATAATCCAGTTTTTAAGATTAAACCACGAATCGAAATTCTTTGTAAATAAAGTCACTTAATTAGAGCATGTTTATTGCAGGTCTCTTAGGTTGGGTCATGCCTAACATAGCTCAACGCATCACAATGGCAGCAGCCAAAAGTGAAATGAGTCCACCAGTTTCACTGCGTTTCATAGTATGCAGACTCCTGGACCATTCAACAACCCCATAAACCTCTTCTCTGCTTCGTCTCTGAAACGAAATCTCAGCGCACCAAATCTCAATCTCACTAACAAGAACAAGATCATCTTCCTTTTGGTAAGAAACCCACCAAACACCTAGTCTTCTTCCTCCATCTGGACTCGCCACAGATACAAAAGCAGGCGGCTCCGGCAACATTCCTTCAAGTCCCTTAACCTCTCTCCACACCTTCTCTTCCCCAAGATTACACCAACTTAAAAAATCACTCCCTAGGGGTTTAACCGCTCTACACAATATCTTCTCTTCAGCAATAAAGCAAGTGTTGGTTCCAAAGAAACCCAAGTCCTCAATAACGACACCGTTTTGGATACTCATATATGGCTCCCAAGTTTTAGTCTTTGGATCATAAACCTCTCCTGAGCTCTCACAATCTCCTAACACATAAACTCTCCCATCAATAAAACCAGCCGCGGCGTGTCTTCCTCGAGGCACTCGCATTCGAGGAAGCCTACGCCACTGGTGAAAATGACAGTCGAGGACAAACACTCTTCTGCTTTTTTTTTTATTTACTAATCCGCCGATGAGGTAAATCTCTGAACTAGTTGAGACCACGGTCGGGGAATCTGGATGATGTCTGAAAGGAAACCAAGGGAGTGGTTTCAGTTTCTGGTCGGGGCCTTGGGTGAGTGCGAACCAGCAAGGATTAGTTTGCCGACGAAGTTTTAAACAGAGATAGATGTGCTTCTCTGTTTTGCTCATTAGGGCTCGTGTGACGTGGAGGTCACGCGAAGAGAGGATCGATCGGAAACGCTTGGAGACGAGAGATAGAGATGGGTGGTGGATTCTTGAGATTCTGGCCAAGATGTTGAGAGCGACGTCGTTTGGTAACGACCAGAACGACGTTAATGTCGGAGGAGACTCCGATGATTTCATCTCTTCCGTCATCACCGTGTTCAAAAAGTTAGGGTTTAATTGATTGGTTTTTTTTGTTTATACATTTTTTTTTTTTACAATTCGGGTCGTATCTTTGATTTCATCAAGATATTCAATCCGTGTTAAGATTTTTCTTTTTATATAGAAGAGAATTTCTAGAATATTATATTAATAATTAATTAGAATTTTCTGATTTTTTTAAAAGTTGATAAATTTATGAAAATATCTCTCAAATGAGATATTCTCATATAGTTTTTCAAGTTTTGAAGAACTGATATAACCTTATCTGTGAATTTGTTTAACGCACTGATATATACCCCTTTTTTTTTGGGCAAAAACGCACTGATATATACCTTATTTTCATATTTTCGCCTCAGGAAAGTTGTAGAAAGCTCACTTTTCTCAGCGACATGATGCTCAGAATCACAAGACTGATGATGAGCCAATTTGTATATACATATCACAAGACTGCAAGCACACAAAGCTTTCAGAAAAGGCCCAGAGTGTGGATACATCGAACAGCGTATAGGAAAAGACTATAGAGGCTCTATATATAGTAGAGCTGATCGGTTTTCCTCTTGATGAATTGGACAGGCTAATAGAAGAATACCGTTATGGGACTCATCAAAAATAAGTCTCACAAGTCTATTGCAAGAGGATATCTTATTCAGAACTCTCTTCTTCTCTCCATTGTAATACACACACACACACATATCTCTCCCTTTTTGAATCGCGATAATGGATATTGAAAGTACATTACGTATGAGTGCATAATTGCAAATAAAATCTACCTGACTGATCACATATTGCCATTAACTATCAACATAATATAGTGTATCATTAAATACACATAACACATGACATGGTTGCATTTGCATGACAACAAAGTTACTTAGAGAACAATAATACATAAATGCATTTCCTGTTAAATAAACAGTTAAACAAAAAAAAATGTATTAACGTGGCCATAGACAGCCTAGACAATGAAAAAAAAAAACAAGATAGCATTCAAGTCAATGTACGTTCTACGTTTATAAATAAAAATTATTATGTACTCGATATTCTTAAAATGACAAGTAAGAATAGCTTTACCCAAAACTAAACTTCTCGAACACATAATATAGGCGATTCTCTTGTAGTAATATGAAGGACAATTCAATAGTAATAAATTAATTGCCAACTAGTAACCAACTAATTATCATAGTAACGGCAAAGACGGGTTATGTATACCACGCCAAGCCTGAGGCGTCACATGCTTTTCATTAATCAAAATTGTTTATCACGATCCTAGGACTTGACTCAATAATCAATATACAGTATAATCCTTTGTTTTTCTCTATCTATTTTGTGAACTCCGTAGAGAAGATGAAGAGGATGATGAGTAATGAAACGGTGTCATCAAAGAAGAAAAAAGATGGTTTGGGGTGGATGGTTTGGTTGAGGGGATGGGTTAATGTTTTGCAAGAGATTCTTTTGCAGAGAATCATGGCTTCTCACTTAAAGAATTCATTTCTTCTTCCTCCTTTAAACCACTTAACCTTCATAGTCACTGGCGCCACTAGTGGCATTGGCTCTGAGACCGCTAGGTCCCAAATTCAGAACAAAACTGTCCTTATTATGCTTTTCATATTGTTTTTATTTTCTTTTATTATGCTAGACAAAAGAAGTGTAATGTAAATCTTATCATGATCAAGTACTAATAATATCCGGCCCACCATTATAATACATATGCAGATCTTGTGTTTAGTTTTTTATCATACATCCTAAAATTTGAGTATTTCTATTAAAAATATCAAGGTGGAGTTTTCACACAAAACACCAAATTTCTTATTTTATACGCAAAATTATATGCTACTATCGGGATCTTTGATAAGGGAAGAAAAAACATCGAAGTTTACTTAGCATACACATGTTGATTTTGGTAGGTGCACAAAATCTCAAAAGATGGATATGAACAGCACTTGCAAGTGAATCATTTGGCTCCAGCCCTGCTTTCACTACTCCTTTTGCCTTCGCTTATCCGAGCTTCTCAAAGTCGAATATTAATGTCAATTCTGTTGTAAGTATCATCGACCATCAATCAAAAATGCTATACTATGTCTAGTGTATACATACCTAATTAACTACTCATATATCCTTGTGACAATATGCTTTCCAGTGTATTCGTTTTGTAGGCGCATTATGTTGGTTTTGTCGATCCGAACGATTTAAATTTTGTTTCTGGTAACCGGAAGTTCTCAAGCTGGAATGGATATTCGAGCAGCAAACTCGCTCAGGTAGATATCAGAAAGATCTTTCGACTTAAAAATGGTTTTATAATATTGTGATTTCTTGGTTATTGCATATGTCAGGTTATGTTTAACAACGTTCTATTCAAAAGACTGCCATTGAAAAGCGGCATTAGTGTCGTTTGTTTATCTCCTGGCGTTGTCAAAACAAACATTGTGAGTATTAATAAACATTGTGAGTATTAATAAACATCGTTCGTTTGTGTTTATTTTGTTTTTGTCTTAACTAAAACACAAATTTATTTAGCTACTATTTAAAAACGTCAAACGCAGAAGAGAAAATCCGTTATGTTTGTAAATAGTTTTCTCTAATTATATCAAAAAAGGTGAAAATGTAAACATTAAAATTTCGTTTGGAGCAATTGAAACCTAGTTTATTGACGTAAATTGCAAAAGGTGGTGCAAGATTTCCATATATTTTAATATTTCTAAGTAACTAAAATTTTGCAGACTAGAGATCTTCCAAGGTTTATTCAAGATCTTTACTTTGCCTTGCCTTATATCAGCTATTCGCCACAAGAAGGTTGTAGAAGCTCAGTTTTCTCAGCGACAGATTCTCAGATTCATATATACTGTGAAAAGTTAAAAACCGATAACAAATCGGTTTGCGCATTCATATCACAAAGTTGTCAACCAACAAATTCTTCAGAAGAAGCTCACAATGTAGAAACATCGAACAAAGTTTGGGAAAAGACACTAGAGTTAATTGGTCTTCCTCTTGATGCATTGGAAAGGCTTATAGAAGGAGAAGAGGTCCAACGTCGTTGTGGGAATCATTATCAATGAATCTGTGATTAGACTTTTTGGTTAATTATTAAAAAAAATTCTTAATGACATTAACTATTTTCAATTAAATTCTTAAAATTTCTGTTAGTGGGAGAATTCGGACCCAGGTTTAAGTACATGTACAAAGGCTATTAAAAACTACACTAAAGATACATTTTTGAAAAAATGTGGCTGATTTATTTGATATTATCCAGCGGTGGAGTTTGTCTTGAGTTTGTACTCAATGCTTAGGTCGATGAGATTGTCATCAATAGTGTTTACGTCTAGCAACCCCAATGAACCTGAGTATTCCTACCAAGGATCCGACTTTGAGTATGTTTTGATTCACAGCGCTTCTTATATATATATATATATATAAGATATTAATATTGTTATATGACTGAGTTTTTGGGTTTTATGCAGTGACTTGGATGAGAATTTGAAGAAGGCTTTCCACAGGATTTTGGAGATCAGAGGGATCACGCCTACCATCACTGACGTTTTGGCAGATTATTTGGCCAACAAAGATAGCAGAAAGCGTCTTCAATGGCTCAAGGATGTCAAGTCTTTTGTTGACATGTGAAAACTCATCGTTGTTGGTTTCCAAGAGTGAAAAATTTTTGGTGAGATTTTTGAGTTTTATCTTTTAGATGAACTTGTTATCACCATTATCTACACTACTCGTTGCAAGGAGTTGCTACTTGTTTACATATATTTACTTTTCATTTGATCTTTCTTATTAGTTTCAACTCTCCCCCAATAAAAAACTTGTCACTTTTCATTAGGATTTATCCCCCAAAAAAGAACTTAGAGCACCTCCAATAAGAGTTCTATCCATTAGAGTTCTAAAATGTGTATATTTATGTATGTATGTATTATATAATGGATAGAACCTTCATGGAGTTGCTCTTAGACTTTAATTATGTTCTTGAATGATAAACTCTGTTATTAGTAGTACTTTGTAACTAGGTTAGGATCCGCGCCTTGCGCGGAATGAATATTTTATATACATTACTTTTATGTATTATATGTTTTTTATATGTAATAAAATAATAAATATATATTGATAATCAAAAATTCAGTAACTATTGCGTATATAATTAAATTGGTGTAAACATATAAATATTTTCTTATTAATTTAAAGAGTTTTTTTCTACTTTATATGATATACAATTAAGTTTAAATGATATTATCCTAGAAATATAATATATTTTTAATTTTGATATTGGTTAAATTATAGTTTATACTCATATTTTTTATTTATATATTTTTATAACAAAAATTTTAAATCACTGATAACAATTTTTTTGTGCGGGATGTTTAACATTTTTTAGTAATTTACAGTTTTAAAACATTGTGCAAAGTTTAAAACTAAATATTAAATTGTCAATATTTGTTCAAACTTTTTATCAAAAAAAATCAAAGCAAATTATAATTTAAATTACATATACATTTTTATATGGTACATAACTTATTTTGAACAATATATATATATATATATATATATATTAAATGAGACTTCTTACTTTTATAAATTTGTAATCATTTCTATTTTGTTATAAAAAAAAATTTAACCATTGATCACAAAATTTTTTATGTGAGATTTTTTTAACAGTTTTAGTCATTTATAGTCGTTTTAAAAAATCAAAATAAAACATATACGAAAAATATAAATTTTTATTATATAGTTAATGTGCTTGTTTAATTTATTTTAATGAGTTAAATTTTAAAAATACACTATTTTTTATCAAATCTGTATTATTGAATACCATTAATTGTCATATATTTTTTTAATCATATTTGGCAAATCCGTTATTTTTATTTAAGGAAACAATGAAAAACATTAATAAGTCATTTATGATTAGGTTAATAAAAAGCTTATTATATATTTAGATGGACCAACATGTTTTTCTAAGGATTCTAAGAATGATTGTGGTGATGACACATGGCTACAAAAAATTGTTGTATTGCTTCTCTTTTAATATATAGGGGATTTTTATATGTGTCTGTTTTTTTTCTGAAAAGTGATTGCGTATATAATACAATGAAAAAGACGATTTTTGGCGGAGTAGATTAGAAAGTTGATTAGTAGTTGTGTTAGTATAAAGTAAGGTCAATCAAATGAAGAAAAGAATCCTTAAAAAAAGCTAGTAATTAATTAGCACTATAAAAATGTAAAATTAGAAATTTGATTAGTAGATGTGTTTAATATAAAGTGAGATTAATCAAATAAAAAAAGAAAAACTACTAATTAATTAACACTATAAAAATGTAAAACTAGAAAGTTGTTTAGTAGTTGTGTTTAAAATAAAGTGAGATTAATCAAATAAAAAAAGAAAAGCTACTAATTAATTAACACTATAAAAATGTAAAATTAGAAAGATGATTAGTAGTTGTGTTAATATAAAGTGAGGTTAATCAAATGAAGAAAAAAAGAAAAAGAAAAGCTACTAACTAACACACACTATATAAAATGTAAAATGCATGAGTAGTGCCACGTTGCCACTTCTGTTCGGTGCTCTCTCTCTCTTTATCTCCTTCTCTCCTGGATTCTCCCAGATTCCATGGAAGCTCCAAAAAGCTGATTCGTCTAATCAATTCTCGTTCCTTCCCTCTCTATCTCTCAGATTCCGATCCGTGGTGTGTGTCTTCCCCGATCCGATTCGATTCCTTCTCACATCTCTGAACAATCCTAAAATCCCTTAATTTGAATTAGATTAGATTAGATCTTTCGTTTCTGTTAGCTGATCCGTCTCGTTTTTTCAAATCTGATTGTTTAGGGAACTAAGATTCGGATCGTCACTGTTCATGATTCGCTAATTGAATCCGATTAGTTACATATTGTATGGATCTGATATCTTTTGGGAGATGTGATACTTTTAAGTAATGAGTAATTGATTTTTTTTTTGGTTAATTAATAATTAAGCAGCTGCTACAGTGGAACTGCCTCTGATGGTATGCAGCAGTCTGATAAGGAGTCTCATTGTTCAGGGAGGTCGTATTGGTGGGGTGTATGCTCAAGGAAGGCATCAGTTTAATAATAAGAAGAAGACGTTGAGTGTTGGTTTTGGATTTAGGAATACTGCAGCGAAGATGATGGTTGGTGATTCTTCTGTGGGGGAGAAACGAGTTGAGATGGTTGATATGCCGCCTGGGAAAGTTGATGACGGTGGTTACATTGGTGGTGGATGGAAAAAGTGAGTTTTGATTTTATATAATGTTCTGTTTGGATTCCTAGTTTGTTATGGTTTTAGTGAATGTAGGAGATACCTTAATTGAATTATTTACATGTTTGTATATAGGAAATGTGAGTTTGGTCCAATATGATGATATCATTGTTTACATTTGTTTTTGAGCAGTTGTTGATGAAGTTATGTGTCTTGACAGTGACGATGGAAGCTTGAGATGTTAGAATCCTAGTGAATGTTAGATATATCTCAACCAGTGATAGTATTAGTTTTGTTTTGAAGTTGTTCTTAAAAAAGGATGTGCAATGACAGTGACAATGTCTAATCTTCTGTGGTTTTGGGTAGATTTTTTTTTGTGTGTTATGGTTTTAGTGAATGTAGCAAATACTTTAGAGAGTACTTATAGGGTTATTGAATTATGATATGTGCTGAAGAAACTGATTGATACTGTTGTGTAGGAAGTGTGGTTGTGGACCAATGTGATAGTGTTCTTTTATTATCTTTACATTTTGTTTTAAGTGGTACTTTAATGAGGTTATATGTAATGACAGTGATGATGGAAGCTTGAGCTGTGGGTACTGTAGTTTCAGAGGGAAAAGGTCTACGATGGAAGACTTCTATGATGTCAAAGCTTTTAAGATGGAAGGCCAAACAGTTTGCATGTTTGGAATATTTGATGGTTAGATTCTATATTGCGCCTTTCTTTTCTTTCTGGTATATCCAAAAGGAAGTTTTAGCGTTGAACTGTTGAAGATATTTTATCTGTGTTGAAAGTAGTCTGGTTTTCAACGTGCCATATCACCAGTGTATATCCATCTCAATGTAAACATGGCTTAGCTGATACATTGTCAAGCTTCATATGTTAGTTTAGGTTGTTCGTTCTACATAGAACTGGCAATACAGTATGTGCGATCCTACTATCTGCCTTAGATAGAGTCTCTATTTGTACATCCTTACTGCTGCTTCTCGGTTTTCTATTAGACTGTTTAGGATATTTATGACTACAGTGCACAATTGAACTCTCATCTTCGTTCATATTATACTCAGAAGCATATATGTAATGTATCGGTGATTTGATCTTTAGTGGCCCTCCTCTAACTTCTGAAGCCTTAATCATCACAGGTCATGGTGGTTCACGTGCTGCTGAGTACCTGAAGAAACACCTCTTTAGCAATCTTATGGCGCATCCACAATTTTTGACAGACACCAAGCTGGCACTAAGTGCGCTCCATATCTCTAGACATAATATTTTGTTGTAATTCTCAGAAGTATCAGCTCATACTACTTGTTAGAAGTCATTGGCACACCTAACTCGAAGAATTTCGCAGGTGAGATATATAAACAAACTGATGTAGCATTCCTCGAGTCAGAAAAGGATACTTACAGAGATGATGGCTCAACAGCATCTGCTGCTGTGTTGGTGGGGAACCATTTGTATGTTGCAAATGTGGGAGACTCACGGACGATCGTTTCTAAAGCTGGGAAAGGTCAGTGTTTCGCTGTGATCTAAAATAACGTGATATATCATTTTAAAGATAATTTGAGAGCTTGTTAAATCATGAGTTTGGGAGATGGAATCATGCAATTCCGTAGATAACATTAGTAAATAGTGAATAAGTTCTTATGATTTGTCAGAAGCCTTTGTTGTTTTCTTTTCACACGAACGCTTTCTCAAACTTAGTGTTTTATGCTTTGCAGCGATCGCACTATCAGATGACCATAAGCCAAACAGAAGCGATGAAAGAAAGCGAATTGAAAGCGCTGGTGGTGTTGTCATGTGGGCAGGTAATCTGATATTCTATTTAGTCATTCCTTTCTCTTGTGTCTTCCTAA